ATTCTAAACTCCATGTTAGTTTTCTTAGTCAAATCTGATCACAATTAGTCAAATTTGCTAACATAAATCAGATCATTTTCTCGATTTAAAATCTTTGCACTGATTGACCGACGCAAAAACCTCAATGAGTTCTTGAGTTCTCGGCTACGAAGCGTATTTACAGAAGTTCAACTAATTTGCATTTTCATATTCAAAAATATGCATCCACAAATGACACTAGAGAAATTTGCTAACTTAGCGATCAAAACTAACAGTCCTCCATTTTCAAAACAAGTCGAAAATTCGTTCCAGATATTTTCTGGGAAACATGTTTAGCTGCATGCACCCGTTTTGCCCCAGCGGATTCAAAATGTCACATATAGAGTTGTTTATCCCGAAAGCTTCCAATTGTTTCTGTACCATCATGCCAAAACAGCTACTATAATGCAACTTGTGCTGCATGAAGACTAAACTTATGACCATAACCCTCGAAATTGTTCCGAATAAATAACTCAATGTCTGTCTATGGTACCAAAGGTGGCATTTTTTTGGTTCCAAATATAGAAGAGGCTTTCACAATGTTTGACATCCTGCGAGAATGACTGATGAAAACAAAAGGAAAGCAGTTGTTAAGCTTCTGAAAGATCTTCAAATCATTGCATATCCAACTTCGTCTCAATTATGGATCCTTTGCTGGCTCTTCTACAGGTGCGGTATCAATCATTTCCACCAATTTTCATTGTCAAAGAGTTTTTGGACGTCAGAATTGTAAATTTGATTCTTACAGAAATGTATGCATTGTTAATTCATCATGTTGCCATATTGTACACAATCTCTTTCGCTCATCAACACCCATGTCAAACCCCGTTATTCCCTTTAAAGCAATACCACCACGGATACCTGTTGAAGTGCGCAATCCAGACCATAGCCACGGCTCCGAAATAGGACCATGTTCAGCCGATCTCTTCTCAGCTGGAGGACATCGCTTAAACGAGATACTTGCATAAGATCTAACGTTCTACCTTCAAAAGGAAAGGGTCGACCACTGGAAAACCTCCCGAATAACCCTCCTTCATAAGAAGGGCGATAGGGAGGATCTTCGGAACTACCGTCCAATATGCCTGCTGAGCGTGCTTTACAAGCTCTTGACGAGTATTATTCTCGCTCGCATATCAAGGGCACTGGATGAAGCCCAACCTGTAGAACAAGCTGGATTTCGCAAGGGATTCAGCTGCGCGGATCACATCCAGATAGTGTGGAGGATATCGAGGTTTGCCGAGAGTACCGCCTACCTCTTGTCCTAACCTTCGTTGGCTATGAGAAAGCGTTTGACAGCGTCGAGACTAATGCCATGCTGTCAGCGCTCGTCGACCAAGGGGTAGACCCATCTTACGTGAGGACATCCGCCGACTGCTACAAGAACTGCTCTACAACAGCACAGCTTTTCCATCGTCCCCTTAACGCACCAATTTCGAAGGGGGCGACAAGGCGAAACCGTGTTGCCAAAATTGTTTACCGCCGCTGCTTGGATGATGAAATCACTGCATGGGAG